CTTCACACCCTTTGTTGCAACCAGTGAACAATTAGAAACGAGGAGATTGACGCTTGTCCACGATTTAATGTCTGCCTTCTTCATCTTAATCTTTCTATAATAGCAAATTCCATACTTTTTCTTTGGTTCTTTGAGTTTGATAATTTGAGAAGTGATATTCTTTCCAGCAACTTCAAACATGACAAGTCTTGTTCTAAATTCTGAAGTGTCCAAAACTGAAATCTTGAATCTCTTTCCAGCTGAAATTTTAATATAGAGTTGAGTATTGTCACCGTGAGGTGAGAATGGGAAGACAATAGTCTTTTTTGATGGATCCACATACTTGTTTGGAGATGTGATTTTGCGAGTGAGGTCAGCAAAAGAAATGTGAGCACTTGCTGATACGATAATACAGCACTCTTTAGCTCCCTTGAATGGTTTGAATCCAGATAAGCATTTCAAGACGATGTGCTTTCCAAGCCATGAACCTGATGATTTCAGCTCAACAAGAGAAAGTATGGCAGTGCAAACCTTTTCATTTCTCAAAGTATCTTCATCCCAAATTTCAACAAGACAATCTCTGGTTCCATCCACATCTGTACAGAACAAATCAAATTCCCAATCAGGATTTGGGTCATCTTGCACACATTTTGTTTTAAATGTTTTGGTTTGTCCTCCAATAATCGGAACAATAACAACAGCATAGGCATCAATCGAAGATAACAAATCGGCCTAAATGATGATCATAAATTCAATGCAATTAATAACAACAACATCATCATATGGTAAACAAATCAATAGAGAATTTTAAAACATTAAAAAATCAAATTGTGATGAAATTTCTTCTTACCTTTGGAAGATCTCTTCCGCAATGCAAAGTAAGATTAAGGCTAAGCGAGTTCATTTTTTATAAAATTAAAATACTTAAATTTAATAACAAAATAAATTAATTATCGGGTGATTGGGATATTTGATGAAGAATATGATGATGACATTATTCATTGGGAAATCATTTAATACAATGAGAATCTGTGGAGGAAGAGAATTAAGACACTCTCATAATTTTTACAAATGGAGAAGGAGAACTTCTTGAAATTTGAGATTAAAATTATCTCTCAAGATTCAACTAAAAAGCACCTCTTGTGGAACAAATTAATATTAATTATTCAATTATTGAATACAGTATTATTATCGCTCTGTATTTCAATTAATTTAGAGATATATGCATTTTTAAATCCTTATTGAATAATAATATCCCATTCCGAAATTATCAACATCAAGCTGAGCAATAACAACATAAAATAAATTCCAAATAAGTTGCTGAATCGTTCTTTAACTGTAATTTATTTTTCTTTTGTCCTTATTCTGTTTTTTTATAACGATTTAACTCTAGTAAGACATTACACATCTCAAGCTCCTCCTCCAACACATAACCAACATAAAGAGAGTCAAACGCAAGTTGGATAACAATAACAGAAAAAAAATCAACAACAACAAGAACAACAATAAGAACAATTATTTTGTTGTATATAAAGAATGACCTCCACTTCTTACTCAACTAGTTTAATCGGCTATAGCGCACTCTGGCAATTACTTAAAGGTTTATTGGTCTCCGTGTGGACATGTGTTGTGATGTTGGCTGAACAATCGTATGAAGGTTGTGTGCTGGATTTGAATGGATACTTTTTAATGCATGAGAATATACTTGATTTACATAATTTATATGAGAGGGACAATCAGAGTGTTGGCATTCCTGCTGTTGCTTCTTCTAAGGGTGTTGCTGCCTTACCAAAACCAATTCTCGTCAGAACCAAATCCATTTCCATCTCTCCAATATCAAAGGTTGCTTCCTCTTCAAAACTTCAACCAATCCTGATGAAACAAGCTTCCAATCTTCACTTGACCATTCCAATTATTTCGGTACAACAAGAAGTAGAGCCATCGATTCCAAAACTCAAAAAGAGTCCTTCCAAGTCAATTGTCCACACTACCAACACAAGATTCCATCAAATTACTCCACCAATTTCTCCTCTTGGCAACTTTACATTCCCAGCTGTGAGCTCCAATTCACAAACTCTGTTAGTTCCTCAATTCGAGCTTTTGAATACTCCACCTCCACAACAATCTGCCACCAATCAAGATTTCAAATCCACTTCTTTCCATACTACTAGTAAGAAGAGACTTTCATTTTCTGCCTTCTCATACGAATTTAATTCAACAACAACAACAAGAGGTAGAGCTGCCACCATTCAAACTATTGTTCCAAAGCCAGTCATTGAAATCAAACGAATCAAATCCAACTCTCACATGTAAATAAATACGAATTAATTGATATCAATTTAACCACAAAGAAATTGAAACAGATGTGCATTGCTTAATGTGTGTAGTTTGTTAATAACGAACTCCACGTACATTAAACAAACTGGCTTTCTTCTCAACCTTACACTGCGCTATAAGAAATCTTCTCTGTAGTAGAAGTTATCTCCTCCAATAATTTTCCTTTTCAACGAGGCATTCTTTAAAATTGTTTAATGCACATGTAGAGAATAGTCTTGTGGAGGTGGAATTATTGGTGATGCAAAGTATTAAGATGAAATATAAAGAACCATTCCCTTTGGGGAGCCTATTTGAATTTCTAAATTGGCCAAAAACCTGACAAACGAGGTTTGATGTCAGCTGTAAGCACACAAACAAAAACGCATGAAAGGATCACTTAAAAAAAATGCCAGCAATAAACCTGTCAAATGCCAGCAGCAGACTTCAAAC